TGCTAGCTCCCTAGAACAACAGATAGCACTGAATAAGTTGCGTTGGCTCGGGCACGTGCTATGCATGCCTGGTCACCGCTTACCTAGGAGGGCCTTGTTCAGTCTACCAGGTGTCGGATGGCGCAAGGCTCGAGGTGGACAGAAGTTGACTTGGCAGCGGCAAATGAAGTCACTGACGACTAAACTGGGTGCCCGTGGGACGTCTCGCCTTCCGGTTTGGAGTCCACGTGACTCACCTTGTGCTTGGCTCGAGACTTTACAGGACATGGCTCGCAACCGACACCAGTGGCGCGTCTGCTGCCGTCTCCTAATCGGATTGTCTGTTTAAAGTGTGTTTGGTGCTGAGTTATCTGCGGGGTAATGGCTGATTATGACGCGTGGCAGTGAAAGCCGCAAGGAAGCTGTCTCGCCGATGCCGCCTTATCTTTGCACGATAGCCAGCTGTTTGTGACGGTATGTTGTTAACACAAGGTGTAGGCGCCTTGACCCTGAATGTTTGCTTAGGGCATTAAGGTTTTCAGGTAAGTCCCCCTTCTCTCCCTCTTATTCTTTATTTCATAGGTCCTCATGGTTGTATGGCAGCGAAGCATCAGTTCAAATGGCTGATGTACTGCTGTTGATGATTGATTGATGATGAGTGGATCTGAAGCTGCAAACAAAGCACCACCCTGCATAGCCAAATGGATCATTGAGGAACAGAAACCATCGCACCACGTAAAGGTCGAGTCTCCTCGCGATGGGGATACAGCTAGCCACGCCAAATTCACTCTCCTTTTCTGACTATTGGTAAACATGTGCAAATGAGGATGACTTCTGTATTTGCTTACTGTGCTAATCGATTAACAATTATAAATTGGCGACATTGTGCAAGAAGTAAAGGGTGTATGTACTTGTGGGAATGAAGGCAGAGATTCTGTAGAATTGCGACCAGTAAGTACGCCTTACTTTTTAGTTGAATACTGTCTACCGATGGCCATCTAAAATTGAGAAATTGTCGGAGCGGTCGCTGGTTCGGTTTGACTATAAACAAGCTAACTGTACACATTCGTCATTCGTCAAATAATTTCTCGATGCGCTGGCCACCGCAGAGGATTATCAACGATGCCCTATCTGCTGTATCGAACAGGGTGAATAGGGGTTTGGATACTACTGCCCAAGCTACCCATTTTCTTATTTCCCCTCTTACGCGTTTTCACTATTACCGTCCCATACCAGCTTCACTTTTATCCCCCCTGTTTTCAATCCCCCAATTTTTGGCCCTCCCCCACCTTGCTTTGATAGGCTTTTGCCTTTTAGTTTCAACTCACATGTGAACACGTAGCGTCATTCCTTCCCTGTCGACAAGGCCATGTCCAAGGAAACGGAGTCCTCTATCATCCTTCAGATTGACATACCTCAGTGCACGCACATTGCTGCTACAGATCGGTCAACAGGCAGCACTTGCCCGAACATTAGAAAACCTCTCCATCGATATCTGCTGCTTATCGTAGACCCGCCTGCAAGACTCGAGCTCAGTGCTCACTTTGTGATCCCCTTCAGGTGACTCCAGCAGCACTTTCTCATTGCGCCTATCCGGTGACGATGCAGCTTCCAGCACCGGCCAAGCCGGTGTTGATATTGCCCTGAGTCCCCGAGCAGAAGCTGCTCTGGTTCACTGGATTAAAATCAGTAGCCGGAGGTGTGCGGTCCGATTGGCTGGCTTGTTCAAACATTCGAAGTCACGCGGGACTACCAGGTGTCTATTCGTCATCGCTGCCTATGCACCGACAAACTCTAGCGATGATTCGGTAAAAGACGACTCCTATCGCCAGCTGAACGAGCTCCTTAGTCACAGAAGGAGCCCGGACACTGTTGTGCTGGCTGGGGATCTGAAAGCTCATGTTGAAAAATTATCCACTGATGAACTGCATCTGGGCGGCCAACATGGTGTAGGCTCCCGTAATGATAACGGTGAGCGACTACTTCATTTATGTGAGGATGCCCGCTTATTTCTTGCGAGCACTAATTTCCGACACAGCACGCGCCTGAGAGTGACTTGACGCCCCCCAGCCTCGAAGCATTTATGGACGCAAATCGATCACATTGTTATCAGTTACCGCTGGAGAGGCTGCGTCCAGAACTGTCGCTCGATTTGGAGCACATGCATAGACAAAGACCATGCACTTGTATGTGCTGACCTGCGGATGCGATTTGGCGGACGCCCAAGACGACCTTGTGAGCGCATTGACACCAGCTAACTGGCGAAGCCAACTCTTCTGAATGCCTATCAAAGTACGCTGTCATGCGAGTTGAGTAAGCGCTCACTGGATGTAGTTGAAGCTCACTGGTCTCATATTCACCAGTCCTTACTAGCAGCAGGAAAATCCTCATGTGGTAAATCTAATCGCCAACATGGACATTGGGTCTCTTCACAGCCTCTGGAACTTATCCATGCTCGCCGGCATTTTCCGGCTGGAAGTGAACACAATGAAACACACAAAGAGCTCCGGGCAAACCTCCCTGCTAGCGTGAAGAGAAACGACGAATCCTGGTGATCTCATCGTGCAGCAGAGATGGAAATGGCCGCTGACCTTGGTAACCTTTCGTTAGTTATTTCGGTTGATACGGGAAACGAGCAGCAGAAGACTTGGTGTTAGTGAAACTAGACGTGACGAAAGTGGGCAGCCTATCCATTACTTGTCAATACGCTTGGAGTGTTGGGCTGAGCACTTTGAAAGGCAATTTAATCGGTCGGCATTGTTAGATTTTTCGTCGGCCACTGATCCTCCCGCTCCCTGCGCTGTCCATTTGGATCCACCCTCTCGATCAGAAGTTGAATGTGAGGTCGGACTGTTGGAGTTGAACAAACCTGCCGAACCACATGATCTTCTTCCAGCCCTCTTCAAACTCAGGGGACCTACTCTTGTGGATGATCTATACGAGTTACTAGTGAAACTGTGGGAGTATAATACTGTACCAATCGACTGAAACCGCTCCGTCATAGTCCCAATTTTCCAGGGAGGCTCACGATCGGAATGCGGCAATCATAGAGGAATCAGTCTGATCTCCATCGCCTCCAAATTGCTTACCTCTGTGATCCTTCCCAGACTGACTTTCACTCGTGAAAGCTATATTCGTGAAGAGAGCCGGGTTTCGTCTAGGTTGTGACCGCATTGACCACATCTTCACTTTACTTCGGTTGTTGGAGCACCGTCAGCTGTATTGGCGACTCATCGTTGTCGTGTTCCTCCATATCGAGGGTGCATTCGATTCGGTGGATAGATGTGCACTTTGGGACTGTCTACTCAGGATAGGTGTACCTGAGAAATATGTACATATTATCCAAGCATTATACGCACATAGCTCAGACAGGGTGAATGCTTACGCAAGCTGTCGTCGCCCGTTAATATCTCCAGCGGTGTGAGACAAGGACGCCGGCTGTCACGTTTCCTCTTCAACTTCGCTATTGACGAATTCATGTAGATCGCATTCACAGGGCACGACTTAGAAGGTGTGGATCTGCTCCCAAGAGAACGACTTCTTGACTTGGAGTATGCTGACGACATTGTCCTAATCTGTGACCCCTCCCAGACGTGCCAAGCCGTACTGTACAGATTAGCACTGAATGTCAGCAGCTGAAGCTCTGCTTTGCACCATCGAAGTGCAAAGCGTTCCTCCAAGATTGGCAGGGATCGCCCCCTGCGCTGACCCTTGGTGGGGATCAGCTAGAATTCGTACAAAAATAACTACTTGGGTAGTTGTATCAACGCCCATGGGATTGAAGATGAAATCACGAACCGTATAGCAAAAGCTCGAGGCGCTTTTGTTAACCTTCGCCACTTATGGCGCCGGTGCGACATAACTCTCGACCTAAAGGTTAGAGTGTACAATACAGTGGTACGTTCGGCCCTACTGTACGGTTGTGAAACCTAGCCCCTTAGATCGACGGACACAAAGATGCTAGATACGTTCGACCACCGGTGCCTTCGCAATTTAGCACACCTATGGTGGGAACACGGCGTGAGCAACGAGCGTGTTTGGCGTCGTGTATTTGGTGCAAGAAGAGCGAATGAACCGCTCAGCACCGTTGTTTCACGCACCAGGCTCCGATGGCTCGGCCACATGTTGCGCATGCCAACCCACCGACTCCCGCGACGTGCGTTGTTTGCGCGCCAGGATTGTGGATGGAAGAAGAGGATTGGTGGCCAAGCGATGACTTGGTCGAGAGGAATGAAGGCCCTCACTTCTGAGCTGGCCTCGGTTGGAGCGTCACGGCTCCCTGGTTAGGGTCCGAAAGACGATGAACACGTTTGGGTGGATACACTTACTGATATGGCTAGGAGTTGACCTCATGGCGTTCGTGCTGTAAGTTTCTTTTCCGTCCTCATCCCACCAACCACCAAGCACCAACCACGATCTGACTATTTAGCCTTATATAACTGCATAGTAATTTTTTGCTGCATATTAGCCGGCAGGTAGCTTACCGGAACGATACCCATCCGTTACCGGTAGCTCAGCTGGCTTGCACTTGTTGCATTTTATTCCCTTTTTTCTTTTATGTATTGCGGCACAGTAGCTGACGTGTTTCCCACCTCTAGCTAACGTGTATAATGATGATGACTGTGCACGTTTCGCTCTTCTGTTATTAGACTAAGTGGTATTCGAAGCAAATAACACCGATCATCCCTGCAGTCTCCGCTAGTTCACTCCCTTTATTTCATTGTCTGTTTGTTCTTCAACATGTTGCGCGGGGCCACAATGTGTAAATCAGTAAATGTGTCTGCATTACATAAGTGCTATGCAATGTTGCTTTGCTATTATACTGCCGCAGGTGGTTGTTCACGGGCTGCAGGAATCAGGAGCCAAATCCGGAATGAATCGCTCTTGCTTTTCATTGCTCCCTCTATTTTCCTGCTGTGAACTTCCATAGACTTGATGACTATGCCTTTTCTTTTATCCTGATCTTTCTGTTGTGTTTTTGCACAACATTAAAACTTTCCATTTGCGTATTGTTGTTTCAGATATGTGTTGCTCAAAACTTCATCTACGGGTGACTTTTACATCGCTGCGAAGGCGTTCACGGAACAACTCGCTTCCATGTTGCCTACACAGCTTGTTCTGTTGGACGAGTTTTTAGGTTGGCCTGGTTTCTTAGCGTTTATCTTGCATTCCATCAGGCATCGAACTGAATGGGAGCACCTATATCCATCCTATTCGGCCTTTTACACTTGGTGATTTTTCTCCGAAGCCATTTCTGCCTAGCACGTATGCCACCGACACGAAAGGCACTGGTCTGGTGCATTGCGCTCCTTGTCATGGCAAAGAAGATTTTGCTTTTGGACAGCAGTTCGGATTGTCTATGGTAAGTGCCACTATGCAAGGTGCAATGATCTCGGTTTCTCATATCCTACTCTTTGAATACCATTTTATTGACATCTTCACTCTCCTCCAACTTTTGCCTACATTTTCTCGGTTTGATATGAGGCAGTTGAATAACCGTGCAGATCACGGGCTACATTTGATCTGGACTTCTTTTTTCTATAACGAATGCGAAATCAGAAATTCTATGCTCCCAGTTCCATATTTGGATACATTCTCTCATCTAAGCTACTCGGCCACATTGTCGCATGTTGCATTTACTGCTTTGTCTGTGCAAGTACTTGCGACTTGGTAAAATGTCAATCAGTTGGTCGTTTTGATACGCCTCTTAAAAGGCTCTGATGATTGTTGGTCGGATCTGACGGGATATACATTGTTTTAAAAGCCAAATGTCATATTCCACATCAACCAATTGCGTTTAGGCATTCACTCGTTACCAGTGTGTTTCATCACCTTTAATGGATCGAAATTCCAACCATACCTTCACCGCATTGAGATGCTGCCTGAAGGTGGCGGTGTCAGTCTTTTCCTCCAGTCATTTTGCCGCAGTTTTGGAAACGCCCCTCTGTTTTTGAATTTGCTTTTTCGGATTGTAGCATATGGCTGGCTACTGTCGGCTGACTCACCTAACTACATTCAGTCTTTCTCGACACCGATGCGATTCGTGGGAACTGGATCCGATGCTTGGATCACAATTGATTCACTGTAATTAATCAATGGTCGACGCACATTGCGATAACAGTGGCAGTCAGCGGTTAACCTCAAACGAACGTTTGTTCTTTTGGATCGAGTCCGGCACTGTATTTACCTCGAGGCCTTAATTTGACGACACTAAAGTCGCACAGTTTTGTAAGTTTCGACATTGGAGTTGAGGCGAGTACCCCCCAAGTGCCTTTGTACCTTCCTTGTATGCATGATTACTGGATACGGTACGCAACAGCTTAGAAGAAATGAACTAATGTTGAATGTCGCCTTTTTACCGATTGGAGATAGAAAGCGGGTGATTAGAGGCTCCGTGTAAATTATTTCCAGATTCTGAATTCCATCTTGTCTCTTCGTTGATGCTAATGACAAGGTCAGTGGCCTTCTTTTAAAGGCTAACCTGAGCGAAAGCGATATAAATGAACTAGGATCATGAGAAATGTGATGCTATGTAGACGCACATTTAACTATCCTTTTCGAAATGTTACACTTGCTCATTCCTGCCTCTAATCATTGTGAGCAGTCATGCCCTGGAGGGAGCAGGGCATGTGAGTCAGCAGCTAGAACTGGGAAAGGATAAGCAGCCAGAAACTGCTGCCTGCACAACTATATTACACTTGAAGTAAGATTTGAAGTCCTATCCGCATACCAACGCACAAGACCATGTCATTAGAATATTTTAATTCTCCCGCTATCAGATCTCAACCGTTTTACCCCATGATAATTACTGAAGGTTGGCTCAGCGGTGACCTAAATGGCGTTACGAACGCTTCACCCTTCATGTCATTCCTCCGTAGCCCCACAGAGAAGGAAGAGATGCGTTTTAGTGCTAAACATGGCTAAAAAACAACGATACTCTTCCTTTGACCGACGTTTTAACGTTGGTATCTGTGATATATATATATATATACATATATATATATATATATATATATATATATATATATATATATATATATCATCAACTGCAGTATATCAGCCATTTGAACTGATGCTTCGCTGCCATACAACCATGAGGACCTATGAAATAAAGAATAAGCAGAGGGAGAAAAAGTGGGACTTACCTGAAAACCGTAATGCCCTAAGCAAACATTCTGGGTCAAGGCGCCTACACCTTGTGTAAACAACATATCGTCACAAACAGCTGGCTATCGTGCAAAGATAAGGCGGCATCGGCGAGACAGCTTCCTTACAGCTTTCACTGCCACTCGTCATAATCAGCCATTACCCCGCAGATAACTCAGCACCAAACATACTTTAAACAGGCAATCCGATTAGACGACGGCAGCAGACGCGCCACTGGTGTCGGTTGCGAGCCATGTCCTGCAAAGTCTCGAGCCAAGCACAAGGTGAGTCACTTGGACTCCAACCCGGAAGGCGAGACGGACCAACGGCACCCAGTTTGGTTGTCAGTGACTTCATTACCCGCTGCCAAGTCAACTTCTGTCCACCTCGAGCCTTGCGCCATCCTATACCTGGAAAACTGAACAAGACCCTCCTAGATAAGCGGTGAGCAGGCATAAGTAGCACGTGTCCGAGCCAACGCAATTTATTCAGTGCTATATGTTGTTCCAGGGAGCTAGCATGATTATCACTACCTAGTACTCGCCTACGCACATCATCCTTAGGGATACGCTGGTGCCATCCGACACCAGCAATGCTTCGCAAACAACGAGGATCAAAGACTTGAAGGCGCCTCAGATCTTCAGACCGAAGCGGCCAAGTCTCACTACCATAGAGCAGAACGGCCCTCACTGTGGCCTTGTATACACGGTCTTTCAGACGAAGGGAAACCCTACTGTCGCCAAAGATGCTGCAGGTTCAAGAAGGCAGCTCTGGCTTTTGATATGTGTGAGCTGACGTCAGTCTCTATGCGCCCATCATTGTTGATGCAGCTGCCAAGATAAGTGAAATGATCAACCACCTCGAGTTCCTCGTTAGCAAGCGTCAAGGGGTCATCAAGTGGCTGGTGGTCCTGCAGCAACACTTTGCACTTTGAAGGTGCGAAGTGCATAGCAAATAATGGGACCACTCTGGACAGGCTATTCAGGGTTGATTGTGCCGCCCCAACATCGTCGAAAAGCAAGACGATATCGTCCGCATAATCTAGATCAACTAATCTTGCACCAGGCAGCACTTCAACGCCTACATCTTGAGATTCCGCAAGGGCACACTCCATGATAGAATCCACGAGGAAATTGAACAAAAACGGGGAAATCGGACAACCCTGACGAACGCCACTTGTGGTCGGAAAGCTATCCGACAGGGCACCGTAGGCCCTGACGCGGCCTGTAGTGTTCGAGTATAGAGCACGAAGGATGTTCACATATTTCGTGGGAACACCCTTCCGCGCAAGTAATCCGGACAGCATCGATCGATCGACCGAATCGAACGCACTCTTGAAATCGAGGAACACAGCTATTTTCGGTCTGCGGTATGCATGGCGCTGCTCTAGCACCTGCCGCAAAGTGAATATATGGTATATACAGCCACGTCCTGGGCGAAAACCGGCCTGCTCTTCCCTAATCCAAGATTCCCGTTCCGCAGTGAGGCGACGAACGAGAATCGATGCCAGTGATTTTGTCACAACTGGCGTTAGGCTAATACCCGTATGGTTAGAACAGTCTGTGCGACTGCCCTTCTTGTATATTGCCACTATAATCGATTCGCTCCAATTAGCCGGGACACTCTCCGTTCCAGATACGTTCGAATTGGGAGGTCATTGCTTTGCAGAGGACCTCACCTCCATCCTTAAATAGTGTAGGTGGGAGGGAATCCCAGGAGAACGACTTCTTGATTTAGAGTACGCTGATGATATTGCCCTCATCTGTGACAGCTCACAAACGTGTCAAGCGGCACTGGACAGATTAGCACTAGCTGTCCGTCACTTCGGGCTTTGCTTCGCACCCTCGAAGTGCAAAGCGTTTCTCCAAGATTGGTCTGGACCGCCTCCTACGCTGACCCTTGGTGGGGATCAGCTAGAAGTCGTTCAAAAATTCAACTACCTGGGAAGTTGTATCAGCGCCCGTGGGATTGAAGATGAGATCACGAATCGTATAGCAAAAGTTCGAGGCGCTTTCGCTAACCTTCGCCACTTATGGCGCCGGCGCGACGTTACTCTCGCCCTGAAGGGTAGAGTGTACAGTGCAGCGGTACGTTCGACCCTACTGTACGGTTGTGAAACCTGGCCCCTTCGATCAGCAGACGTAAAGAGGTTAGTTACGTTCGACCACCGGTGCCTTCGTAATTTAGCTCACATTTGGTGGGAAAACCGCGTGAGCAACGAGCGTGTTCGACGCTTTGTTTATGGCACAGGGAAAGGAAATGAACCGCCCAGCACCGTTATTTCACGCAACAGGCTCCGATGGCTCGGCCACGTGTTACGCATGCCAGCCCACCGACTCCCGCGACGTGTGTTGTTTGCGCGCCGGTGATGTGGATGGAAGAAGAGGTGGGGTGGCCAAGCGATGACTTGGTCGAGAGGAATGAAGACCCTCACTTCTGAGCTGGCCTCGGTTGGAGCGTCTCGGCTCCTTGGTTGGGTTCCGAAAGACGATGAACCCGTTTGGTTGGACACACTTTCTGATATGGCTAGGAGCCGGCCTCAGTGGCGTTCGTGCTGTGAGTTTCTTTGTCCCACCCCATCCGTCTTAGCCTCCCCCTCCAACCACGATCTCATTACTTAGCCTTATATAATTTTGCATAATATTTTTTGGTGCACAGCAGCCGGCTGGTAGCTCACCGGAATGATGCCCATCCGTTACCGGTAGCTCAGCCAGCTTTCACCAGTTTTTCTCTCTCCTTTTTTCTTTGTATTGCGGCACAGTAGCTGAGGTGTTTCCCACCTCTAGCTAACGTGTATGATGACGATGATGATGATGGGAGGGAATCCGGGCCAGCGGCACGAAAACGATTAAGGGCTGTGATCGCGTTTCGGACCTTGGCCTCCGACGGAGGCTCTCAACTAACCGTCCATGGCACGTCCTGCATCACCTGAGTAGGAAGAGGTCCGGGAGCAGGGGGCCAGCTGAATTGGTCTTCAAAGTGTTCAGCCCAACTAGCCATACGGCGTTTCTTATTGTGTATCAGCGCACCCGCGTTGTCTCTGATTGTCTCACTGACGCCTGGTTTTCTGGGACCAGTAGTGTGTATCAGCTGGAAGAGCTTGCGATAATTGCCTACTGCCCCTGCATCCTCCATTTCTTGAGCCCGACTGGTCCACCAGGATTCATTATCAGCACGTAGGCTTCGCTTTAGTTCACGCCTAATAGCTCGTCTGGTCACATTGTGTTCAGAACCAGCCGGGAGTTGTCTTCTAGCTTCCAACAGGTTCACCGACCTCTCGGATATCCAGTGACTGGTGCGGTGAGGATGGATAGTGCCACAAGCAGATGCTCCTGCGTCGTGCATGGCGGCCGAGATCCTATTCCACTGAAGTTCAGTGTCATTAGTACATGACAGCGAGAGTTCGGTATGCAGTGCTTCTTGATAGGCTTGCCTGACCGAGGACTGAGACAATTTCTCCCTTGCTAATCGGAAGGTTCGCTTTGTGCGCCTTCCGGTAAAGTTCATAGAGTAACGACATCGCACCAAGGCATGATCAGAGTCGACACATGTACTCCAGTACGAGCGGCAATCCAGAATGGAACCGCGCCACCTATAACTTACGGCTATGTGGTCAATTTGGATCCATCGCTGACCAGCTACAGGTGGACGCCAAGTGACACTTCGGCGCCCACTGTGTCTAAAAGCAGTGCTACTAAGAAACAACTGGTGTTCCGCACACAGTTGCAGCAGACGCTGGCCGTTGTCTGTCCGTTCGGAGTTAAGCCCACAATTACCACCCAGCTGAGCTTCTGCAGAGCTCAGACGCCCTACTTGTGCGTTCATATCCCCTGCAAATGCTATAATATCTGAACTAGTAGCACTGCGTAGTAGGGCGTTCAGTTCGTGATAGAAAGTGTCCTTGACTGCATTAGAACTGCAATCGGTGGGAGCATAAACGGAAATCACAAACAAACAGCGTTTTTTACTATTTCGTGGATCAACCTTAGCTGATGTCATCAAACGGGCTGCACATAAACGGCTGTTTACCGGAATCCAATCAACCAACGATGACTCAGCCTTGGAGCTGAGAATGATACCTACACCAGCTTGACCCGTGAGTGCGGCATCGGCGTCTCCGATGTTTGAAGGAAATGTCATGGTTGTATGTGGGCTGAGATACTGCCAGGACGCCCAGACCTAGACAGGGGGACGATTAGGGTCCTCATATAAAGCCTTTGGCTCAAAAGCCTGTCCGCAGGGCATCCGAAGGAATAAGACCGGGAGGCATGCGGATGGGAGCCACGTTTCATCAACGGATCCGGCCCATACTCCTTCACAGGCAAACACAAGCACGCTGTAGTTGGGGAATCAACCGCACACAATGCGGTGGCTGGACCGTAGTCCGCTCCATACTGAGTGCATGGAACCACTATTCGAGCCTAGCACGGCCACTAGGACCGTGCACCCCGTCCCCTCCAGCAACGACCAATTGTCTCCTTGAGCCAGTATATACGAGCTAGCGGGTAATAGATAGGGAGGCACCTTGTCAACATGCACATCAAGCGCAGCCACACCGGGGATGTCAAACAACAGGCAATCATTTGAGAGACATTTGATTAAAACATAAGGAAACGGTGACATAAACGTTAAGTTACTGAGCATATGTAAGAAGTCGTTTACAAACGAATCCTACATAAGTTCGCAAGGTCAGAAAGTATACTTTACGGAATACCTCGAACACAAAAATGCTATGGAAATCGACTACAAATGGCTTAAGCGAAGTGTGCAAGTTAATG